CACTCTAAAGCCTTTAATAAGACCAAGATCCTCTGTTCTTCGCATAAGTTTGCTTAAGCCCTCCATAATAATAAGAAAAAGGAAAGGCAACAAAGGATCTCATTGTCTTAAACCCCGTGTGCACCAAAAGAAACTAGCAGGAGATCCGTTCACAAAAACAGAGAACTTGACGGACGAAAGACAAGTCTCAATCCAATTCCTCCACCGGCTTCCAAACCCCATTCTCTGTAAATTCCAATTCACATGATCATATGCTTTCTCAATGTCAAGTTTGCATGGGACTCCGGGAACCCAATACGCAATTTGGAATCCACACATTCGCTTGCAATAAGAACTGAATCAAGAATTTCCCTTCCTTTAACAAAAGCGTTTTGGGAATCTGAAATAATCCCATCCATTACTTTCGTCATCCTAAGGGCAAGAACCTTAGCCAGGAGTTTGTAAATACAACCCACTAGGCTAATTGGTCTAAAGTCTTTAATGTCTGAAGCACCTCCCTTCTTAGGGATAAGGGCAATGAATGAGGCATTTAGCGACTTCTCAAAAACGCCAGTAGAATGGAACTCCTGAAATGTACCCATCACCTCGTTTCTCACAACCGCCCAACTTTTCTTTAGAAACCGCATAGTAAAACCCATCAGGCCTCGGAGCTTTGTCCCCATTACAACTTGATAAAGCCCGTAGAACTTCATCCTCAGTAAAAGGAATCTCAAGCCCATCTCTGTCCAATTTAGGTATAGCCTCAAAGTGGAGACCATCAAGTTTAGGTCTCCAAGCTAACGATTCTAAGTAAAGCTTCTGATAGAAGGAAACGATCCCACTGCGCACTTCTTTTTCCCTCCACAGCTCCACACCTTCCACCCGAATTTGTCCTATATGATTACTCCTTCTGTGAATATTAGCGAGTCTGTGAAAAAATTTTGTGTTACGATCTCCCTCTTTTAGCCAAAGAGCCCGGGATTTTTGTCTCCACGAAATCTTCTCCATGCTAGCAATTTTAGCAAAAACTGCCTGACAGGAGGCTCTCCTAGAATGTAGTTCCACCACATCCCCACCCGCCTCTTTAAGACGATCAATCTCAGTGAATTCGGCAAGGACTCTATTCTTCCTCCATTCAAGATTCTCAAAAACAAATTTATTCCACTTCTTAAGATCGAATTTGAGAGCTCTTAACTTCTTTGTTAAAGTGAAGCTAGGCGAGCCTGTAACTGAAGCTCCCTCCCACCAAGACCTAAATTTCCCTTGGAAATCCTCCGCTCTCAGCCACATGTTCTCAAACCGAAACGGGGATCTTTGAGAACACAAACCCCCACAATCCAACGCCAAAGGAACATGATCAGAAGTGACCCTTACTAAAACTGCTTGAGCGGCGTCCGGGAATTTCTCTTCCCATTCCCCGGAAATTGAGAATCGATTCAGCCTTGAAAAAGTGTCTGGGTCTCTACCGTTTGACCAGGTATAGGCTGCACCTTCCATTGGTAAATCAATGAAAAAAAGCTCATCAATGAAGTCAAAAAACTGATCCATATCAAAAGCCCTGCTTCCCCCTACAGACCTCTCGACCGGGGATCTAACAGAATTGAAATCCCCCACCGGCAGAGAGACCACAATCCTTGAACATGGCTAAGCTCCTCCCAAAAAATAGGTTGATCATTATCAACAACCGGTCCATAACCTCAGAAAAGACCCATCTGAAATTGTCCTCTTCCATCTGAAACTCGCAAGACACGAAAAATCTCCCCATCCACACATCTGTCCTTGACAGCCACCTACAATCCCACATAACTAAAATTCCGCCTGAAGTACCTATAGCATTCAATGCCTCCCATTCCACAAACGTTCCACCCCACAAACCCCTAACCACCCCATCAGAAATGGATGCCAACTTGGCTTCTTGCAGACAAACAACCTGGGCCCCCCACTTCCTTAAAGCTACCTTCACCACCCTCCTCTTGTTCAGGTCGTTGAGACCACGAACATTCCATGTAATGATTCGTAGCTTCATTAAAAACCAGATAAAATTATGCCCCCTCCTCCCTTCCTTAAACTCCTACTTTTGGTCCTTCCCTTTTCCCTCACCACCCGTCTCTTCCCTTCATAATTGACATAAGAGATGAGATTCTTGACCTCCTGTGCCCCTTTCTAGGACGATAAAGGCCTCGTGTTTATGACTTCATTGGTCACTGCAACCTCTCTTCCTTCCACAACTGCTTGAAGGATAGATAATGTCTGGTCGTCATTACCCTCTGATGAGATTCCCAACAGCTCACTAGTGACTCCAATATTATCGACTACCCAATACTTTCCCATATCAGCAGCCTCTTCATAACAGTCAGGTAGCACAACGGCCAGTGGTGCCTCTACTAATATGTTATAATCATTCTCCAGCCGAGGGGCAAGCTCATTAGAGCAAACCTGTTGGATAGACCCCAAATCATCATCCATCTCCTCTTCAAAATCCCTTCCATTCTCATGCGTAGTATCCAATTCTGTAGCGAAGTCGCCCATTCCAGCGAATCTAACAGGCTTGTTCTCCTCAGCCCCTGCAAATGGCAAGCAGTTAAGGCCTTTCAAGGCTACACGCAATCGAAGCTCTTTGAACAGAGTCAAAGCCTCATCATTGGACAACTGAAAATGGAGGTCTCTCCCCACACAGACCATAACCCCCTTAGACAAGTCCTTGACTGTACAACCAGCTAGGTCCATTTGCCCAGACAAAACAGACTCGCAGACTTCCTTCCCTTTCGTATTCAACCCATACTCAACTTCAGGTCCAGTATGCGAAACTGATAACCCACACCTCTTCTCCGTTGCTGTCTCAATTGCATCACTCCTCAACATCTCACAAGGAGGAGTAGAAGAAGTGAAGAACTGAAGAAGAAGATGGGGCAGTGAAGGAGCTCTGAGGGTGTGAAACTGAGGACATACCTGGATCATTAGTAGAAGTCCACTTTTGCTTTTCTTTTCTAGACCATCTAAATCCATGACAGTTTCTATGAGAATACCGAGACAAAAATCTAGAAATTCCAGAAATTCTTCCCTACGGCAGTGCAATGTCAGAAAAGGACGAAGATGATATGCCAGCGCAGCACTGAGAATGACGAAAAATCTTCTCATCAGGTCTCACACCAGCCTCGGCAGCAGAGTGGTGGCGAGTTCCATACAGTTGCAGAGATGCTGTTAAAATGACAACTCTGAGGATTAAGTTCTGTAGAGAAAGGTGGGCTGGGCTTGGTGTTAAGAAAAGAAACTAAAATCAAATTATTGGGGCCCATGTAACCTTTCTTTTTGAAGTACACACTTGTGGCCCAAGTCGTGACTTATCTTCTTCATGGCTGGGCTTGGACATAGAATGTGGGCTGGGCTTAATTACGAAGTGATGAAAGGCACTGATTTAGGGCGTAATTGATACGACTTCTGGATCTACCTGCCCTACTTGTGTCTGGCGTGTTGACAGTCACTTGCCTCTTTCGTTGGAGGCCCAGACGAGTCTGCAAATTCTGGCGACGTACTTTTATGATCGTTGCATCAGACAAGAGGTGGGGACTCTCACTGACGTCATAATAGGACTTCGGAAAGATGCGAGGTGAGATCTCCTCTATCAGATTGACCTTAAAGGCCACTCGTTGGACTTCAATGAAAACAAACTCCGGCATCACTTCTCCGGCGGAAACATAGAGAAGGATTCTCTCGCCATTCGCCGAGACGTCCACCTCCACGCCTTGAAAGCCACCACATAAGTCTCCAATTGCTTCAAACAACTTGTGGCACCAGAGATGGAAGGGCAAACCAAACATCACCACCCTTTGTATTTCTCGATCTTTCACTGCAGAACAACCCACCGCAAAATACCAAATGTCTATGGATAAAATAGCGTCGCCCCATCTCTTCCTCCCTTCATCCGATACCCTTAGTGCCTCAGCCTCTGATGGTAACCTGAACAGGAGTAGGTCGTCGGGTAGGGAAGGAACTTTCAGCCCACTCTATACTTTCCAAGATTTCGTCGCCCACGCCTCAATCCCTTCAATACACCCCCCATCATGATCGAAACGGCCAACCAAACATGATCCAACGGCAGATTCTTGTTCCGTTATACTTTGACGATCGACCCTAAAAACCATAGCATTGCCGATGGAGCAGCTTTTGATTTCTCCATGGAAGTTGAGGCGTGGTAGAGTTGCCACATTGAGATACGATCGTTGCATATCACAATTCCCTGCCAGAGAAGCCAGAGATCCAGCGACAGGAAGCACAACCAGAAAAAATGACAGACGCAGGAGTGAAAGACTCTGACGTCAAAAAGGGTAGGGAGAGAGGAGAGAAAAGTCAACCATGGTCAACCAAGATAACAAGAGGCTAATGTTTTACATTCTTTATATGCTCAAATACACTATATTGTTTTTTCTTTATGGGGGAGGTTCAAAGAATGGTTTACTTTCAAGGGCTTTGTAATCCAATCAAAAGTGGTGTATTTTTTATACTGGAAATTTGTTGCATAAGCCGAGTTGCACTTTTTCTAGATGATTTACTTTGTGTGAGATAGTTTAGCAGATAACTAGCCTAGGGCCGCTGCTGCAACATCTTCTTCTAACGTTTTACCTTTTGTGGTTAATTTTCTTTTTAATTTCAAGGATGTTACTGATAGGACAAACCATTTTCTGGCCTCCAAGTTATTATTGTTTCAACTATTATGATTTTATGCTACATTTTTGAATATTTGACATCCCTGTTTCTTCCATATGATGCCTTTATGCACATGTCATCTATGCGGTGGATTATATAAATAAATGTTTGAATGAGATCTTATAGATAATCCTGAATGGAAATGAAGGGATAATTCAATATGCATGGAAATGAAAGGATAGTTCCATAGCTACTGTTTTCTGTTAATTTGATTTCAAGAAAAAGAAAGGAGAAAAGAAAAGAAAAGCTTACTCTATTGCTCAAGTCTCTATCTGCTTACTCCATTCTGTTCATCTAAGCAATGTTTTTTCTTCCAGAGGGTCACAGACATGGCTTTCTTTGCTGAGGATGTTCACCTTTTGGCTAGGTATCTCTCTCTCTCTCTCTCTCCCCCCGTCTCTGTCTCTCTGTTATTCATAATCTCCTTGTGTTTGCCTTTTTGTTATGCTAATATGCTTCTGACTTTTGTGCAGTGCAAGTGTAGATGGGCGGTTATATATATGGAAGATTACTGAAGGGCCAGATGAGGAAGATAAGCCACAGATAACAGGAAAGATAGTTATCGCCATTCAGATAGCAGGAGAAGGGGAATCTGTTCATCCACGAGTTTGCTGGCATTGTCACAAACAAGTATATATTCTTCTAATTTTTAATTCTAATCATAAATGCAGCATTTATTTTGGTTTGAAATTATTTCGTTTAATACTTTGTGTTGTTTCTATTAGCAATTAAGTCATCTGAATACAATTTTTTTACTTTAATAATTTACACATTTTTCACAGGAAGTTCTAGTAGTTGGGATTGGAAAACGTATTCTGAGAATAGATACTACGAAAGTTGGAAAAGGAGAAGTCTTTTCAGCGGAGGAACCTCTCAGATGTCATGTTGAACAGCTGATTGATGGGGTCCAGTCTGTTGGTGAACATGATAGAGAAGTGACTGATTTGTCGATGTGTCAATGGATGACCACCCGTTTGGTTTCTGCTTCAATGGATGGCACGGTTTGTCTACATCCTGAAAGTTTTGCTATTTATGGTCTTTTAGTTACCCTTGTGGCCTTATTTATATTGCTGTCTGCTCAATCATCTCAACATATTCGTGTTGGCTATACTAATGGTTTATTATGTAGGTAACAAACAAAGATTTTGTTATTTTAGATAAATGAATGAAAGAGGGTTGGTCATACCATATCACTTCGTATAAAATGGGGAAATGTAGAAAAATTAGTTAAAAAAGCTTTCATATTAAGAGCATCAATTCAATTATGTCTTACCTGTGTGCTCCTGTGAGTATATTTATTTACTGATTGTGATGGATCGTAAATATTATGACTCCGGCATTTAAATATTGTCCTTTAAGTTTCCAATGACAGCAGTGTTGTCCTTTAAATGAAGTTTTTGGAGGTGAGTTAAACATGTTACTAGGATTCGAGGAGTAAGGGCTTAAATGGCTCGTTTGCACTCGTCAGTGTGTACTATATTGTTTTTGTTCTTTTATCAAAATTTTGAAATGATGCTTTTGAATTATTTCTCTTGTTTATTTTATTCATTTATTTATATTGAGGAAATAAATTTTTACTACTTTGGGGTTTTAATGTCTGCACTCCAATTATTGCTCATGCTCCACCTGCAGGCTGTAGTTTTTTAATGGAAGAAATGGCAAAACTGCCTTTAGTTTAAAGGTGTTTATTTTCATCTTCTTCTTTGAACAACTGATCCATCCATTCTTTGTCGGAACCCCAGGATAGCTTAAAGAAAATGTCCTTATCTGCTGTGTTTTTGCTGTCTGTCCAAATATTTTTATTAGATCCCAAGCATTGCAATCCGAAATGAATTCTCTGGGATGTTCTATTTTGCATGACCATTGCCATCTGAAGGAAAGAAAATTGTTTGAAATACTTGAGAAAGAAAGCCATTTTTAGGCTCTGTTTTTTCCCTTTCAAACTTTTTTGTGTACTAGTCTGTAATCAAGTTCAGCAAGCTTCCTAAGGGCATGCCAAGACTTATTAAACCAATCTCTAATTGGCCATGCTTTATGCTGCAATTGGCAACAAGCATATTTTTCATAATAATACTATTACTAATAATAATCTTGATTGGGTTCGGGTTGGGTTCATATTGCTCAACGCCTTTGATTAAGCCTGACCAAGACTGAGGTCTGATTTTAGGCCAAGTCCAATCCGAGCAACAAAAAAGTCCCGAAGTCTGTTCAGGAAAAAAGAAACATAAGAAATAAAGGGACTGGACTCTGTTGGGTTCGGGTTGACCAGCCAAGCTGCAACCCTAATCCAAACAGGTTTCATATTTAAAATATTCAAACCAAGTTCAGCAAGTTTCCTAGGGCATGCCAAAACTTATGAACCTCATTTTCAATCAACCATGTTTTATGACCATGTTTTTCTCTTGAATTAGGCTTTTGTTTCCAATATTTACATAATAATTCTATTACTAATAATAATCTAGATTGGGTTCTGGTTGGGTTCATAGATTGAGGTCTGGTTGAAAGGTTTTAGCACAAGCCCACCTGAGCAACAAAAAGAGTTCCCCAAGCCCGTCCAGGAAAAAACACGGAAAAGAAAAAAACGGATTGGACTTTGTTGGGTTCGGGTTGCCCAGCCAAGCTGCACCCGTAATCCAAACAGGTTTCATATTTAAAATATTCAAACCAAGTTCAGCAAGTTTCCTAGGGCATGCCAAAACATATGAACCTCAATTCCAATCAACCATGTTTTATGCTGCAATGCTGTGACAAGCTCTCCTCTTATCATAGATGTTCATTTCATCTCCTACATCACGGTCAGTGTATACCATGCTTACCATGCTCCGCAATTGCTCTTACATTGGTGACAAAAATGAAAATCCTGTAACTCAACCAATGGTACCAAGTACTGACTACTACTTTTACTCATGGTAAACCTTAGAATTGACTTAACTTTCAAGTGATCCAGGGGATTTGAAGTATGAGGTCATTCAGTAGCAGTTCTACATTGAAATGGAAATCTGAAAGTAGTAATCTATGTGTAAAACATGGCCTGGGTTTTTGATCTTTTTGGTAATCACCTTCTGATATTAAGGGATGAAAGTAATAATGATTTGTTTTGAAGTTGGGCAAGCAATGGACCTTCTCAAAGAAACATTTGATGAGAATGTACAGTCTTGCTGTTTTGCATTTAAACTTGCAATTAAACAAGCAGAAATGACCTGTTGCTGTATTGCATAATCTCCGAGAAGTTATGAAATTCCGGAGGGCTATGTGCCACTTCAAGCCCCTTGGGTTATTTTAGCTTAAATTTGCCCTGCATCTCAATACAACAACAACAACAACCACAACCAAGCCTTTTTCCCAACTACTTGGGGTCGGCTACATGAATCCTATGTTTCCATTCTGCTCTATTTAAGGCCATAGCCTCAGTCGAAGGATGCATTACCATGATTTATGCAAATATTTCTTCTGCTGGTACTGAAATATTAGATTACCATCTTCTCTTGGAATTGGGTAGCAGCTAACTGGTGCAGTGGTTCATCCCTCAAAAGGACAGGACAGAGTGGTCTTTCCTTCCCTTATAGCCATGTAACACCTTCATTTAGAAGGGCTTGCTCTTTTAAATTTTTTTAAGCCAAATATCTGATGCATGTGATTTGGTTTACAGCCGATCAAAACCCCTCCAGCAAGGTATTTAGTCCTCAAAATTTGTACCTGAAGGCATTCTCTACCCAACCTTTGTTGTCACAGAATGATAGTTGCCCTAATTGCCAAACCTCCAATCTCAGTCTTGCATTTCAAGATCTCAACTCCTTATATTCTCATCTGTAGTCTAAAGTTAGCCTGGAGTAGCTCTGGAGAAAAATTGCTAGCCCTTGCACAATATTGTTTTGTTCAGTGGCCTCAATCATTTATAGTCTTCACTATTTCTTGTTTAGTGGGTTTATTCAAAATTTTCCTTTTTTTTTGTCAATATTTGATGGTACTTCTTCAATATCTATATGTAAGTGCATGCAAAGAATTACATATACTGTTGGAAAGAGCTTATTGTTTCGGAACATGCTCATTACCATTATCTGGGTAATAGAACATGTAGTTTTTCCATCTTGGACTCACCCTGTAAGGTCACTAATACAGTCTTTTCCACACTACTTAAAGATTCTTGATGCACGTCTGCGTGTATGCCTTCATGCATTTATTATTTGTAATGATTTTCTTTTTGATCCATGTCCCTGACTGTGCATGTGAAATATCTTCATCAACAGATAAAGATTTGGGAAGATCGCAAGCCGCTACCACTCATGGTATTGAGGCCACACGATGGCAAACCTGTTAATTCTGTTGCATTTTTTACTGCCCCTCACCGTCCGGATCACATTATACTTATCACAGCGGTACATGCTCTGAGAATATTTTCTTTTTTCTTTTAATATTTTCATCTAGTATGCTTCAGGCTGTAACTATGCTAATTCAACTTGAATGTTTAATATTTCTGTCTTTTAGGAGCCTGCTATTATCTAAATTTCATTTTGATTTTATATTTTTCACTTGTGTACAAATTTTTTATTTAACTTTGACAAATTTTGTCAGAAGAGTTTTAATATGCTTTTCAACAATGTTTTTTGCATGGATAGTATAATCCATTTAATTTTTTAAAGGATGTTCACAGGGGCCTCTGAATCGGGAAGTGAAGTTATGGGCGTCAGTAGGTGAAGAAGGCTGGCTGCTTCCTAGTGATGCTGAATCGTGGCAGTGTACCCAGACATTGGAATTGAAGAGTTCAGTTGAACCTCGAGTGGAAGAGGCCTTCTTTAATCAAGTTGTTGCCATGTCTGAATCTGGCCTTCTCTTATTAGCAAATGCTAAGAAGAATGCTATATATGCTGTACATATAGAATATGGTCCTAACCCGGCAGCAACTCGAATGAATTACATAGCAGAGTTTACTGTGACCATGCCGATTTTGAGTTTTACTGGAACAAGTGATTTATTACCCCATGGTGAACATATTGTTCAGGTTTACTGTGTTCAGACACAGGCTATTCAGCAGTATGCACTGGACTTATCCCAGTGTTTGCCACCACCACTGGATAATGTGGTGCTAGAGAAGTCAGACTCAAGTATCTTCCGTGATACATCTGGTACTGAAGGATTTGCAGCTTTGGAGCCATCTGATAGCAAATCTGCTGAGATGCAATCAGCTAGTTCAGCACCCAAACCATCTATATCAGAAAGTAGTTCTGAGAGTGCAACTATGCTGAGGCATCCTGTGAGCTCCACTTCTATGGAGCGATGCACTTCACCAGAGTTGATTATGGAATCTAAACTTATTTCTTTGCCAGTGGTAACTAGTGATAATGATATTACTTCTGTTGCATCACCACGTCTTCCTTTGAGTCCAAGGTTGCCCCGAAAACTCTCTGGTTTGAGAAGTCCAGTGAACAGCTTTGAACCAGGTCCCGCACTCAATGATCGTGGTGGAGATAAACAAGTTATTGAATATTCAGTTGACAGGCAAATGGATACCATTCATACACACTTGTCTGATGTTCCTTCCTTGGGTGATGATTCAAGGAATAATGAAAACAATGTTGCACATGATAATATTTCCACTGTTCTTAATCATCCTATCAAGTTCAAGCACCCAACTCATCTGGTAACTCCGTCTGAAATATTGATGGCTGCTTCCTCTGAAACTGCTCATGTTAATGAGAACAAAAGCGAGGGAGAGCCAAATATTCAAGACGTGGTTGTCAATGGCAGTGTGAATAATGTTGAAGTGGAAGTTAAGGTTGTGGGTGAAACAGGATTTAATCAGAACAGTGAACATGGCTCTCGAGGAGAATCTCACAAGCTCGTGTTGGAAAATAAGGAGAAATCTTTTTGCTCGCAGGCCTCAGATCTTGGTATTGAGATGGCCACAGAGTGCTGTGCATTACCAGCAGAAATGTATATTGTGGAGGAATCTCGGCAAGAGGCTATGGCCCAGCCTTCAAGTGCTGAGGGAGAAGTCGAGGACTCCACAAAAGATATCACTCGAAAGGATGCAGATTTAGCTATGCCTGCAACAAATCAACAACCACTGGCACCAATCTCAAAAGCAAAAAAGCAAAAGGGGAAGAATAATCAAGGATCAAGTCCATCTTCAGCATCCCCAAGTGTTTTCAACTCAACAGATTCTTCTAATGAACCAGGCGTCAGTTCAAGGATTCCCTCTATGGAAGCTGCTTTTTCTCAAATTCTGGCTATGCAGGAAATGCTTAATCAGGTCATTGCTTCAAGTTTGGCATGTGCATGATTTCCTTAATATATTTTTATCAGTAGTTACTTTCTGTGGAAATGTTTGCATGCTGGAACTGGAAGTGAGTTATATTATTTAAAGAACAAATACTGCAGTCTAATTGAAGAAAATTTTAGATAATTTCCGGACATGTAATATTTGGTTCCTTTTAAATTATGATCCTCTTCAATTATTCTTATTGGTGGCTTTCTTAATTTAATAATAGCATCATTGTGTTCCTTTAAAAATATTCAAATTTATCATCTCAGGGGGCCATGTTTAATTCCCTTTCATTTGTTTTTATGGTGTTCTGTGTTTAGTTTTGTATTTTTGGTCATTCCATGTAATTATATTCTGTTGAAAATTTGCTGATTTTTGCGTGTTGATTTATGTTAATAATTTTCTTATGTCACACTATAGCGATGTACATATGGCCCTCCATTGGGATTTTATTTTTATAATTCTTGGGATTGAAAATGATGGAAGAGCTCCCCTTTTTCCATACCGATTCTTTCTGTACTAGTTGTATTCCTCTTATGTTCAATGTTACAGTGTATGCTGCAAACTAGGCTATTAATTTACATCGGCAATTCACCAGCACCTTTTTTTTTTCCTTGAAAGGTAATTCACCAGCACGTCTTGGTAACAAAAGTTTGTTTCATTTATGTATTATATGTTAACGTGAATTCTATGTGCACAGTAATCTGCATCCTGTATTCTCAACATCTCTTTGCCCTTCTATTTCTTGCAGTTGACAACCATGCAGAAAGAAATGCAAAAGCAGATGCAAATGATGGTTGCCATCCCGGTTACCAAAGAAGGCAGAAGGCTAGAAGCAGCCCTAGGGAGAAGCATGGAGAAAGCTGTCAAGGCCAATACTGATGCTTTGTGGGCTCGTTTCCTAGAAGAGAATGTGAAACAGGAGAAGTTAGTACGAGACCGTACTCAGCAAATAACAAGTTCGATCACTAACTGCATGAACAAAGACTTGCCAGCTGTGCTGGAGAAAACAGTGAAGAAAGAATTTGCCATGGTTGGACAGACTGTAGCTCGCACAATTACTCCAGCAATTGAGAAAACAGTATCTACAGCTATTGCCGAGGCCTTCCAGGTTAACCTTCTGAATATCTCAGTTTTCTTTTGGCATTTATCTTATAGGGAACTAAATTTGATACAATGTGGTGCAGAGAGGAGTTGGTGACAAGGCAGTGAACCAACTGGAGAAATCGGTTAATTCAAAACTTGAAGCTACTGTTGCCAGACAAATTCAAGCACAATTTCAAACTTCTGGCAAGCAGGCTCTTCAGGTATGCACAGGTTTATGGTATCAGTTAATATGTGACCGAGCTATGTGGAACATGTAGTTAACTCTCAAGTGTTTAAGTAGGAACTAAGCTTAATCTTGTTATTTTTTGTTTAATCTAATATTTTTTCCCCTTTTCGTGTCATTAATGCCAAAATTTGTTGATGGATTTTGGTTCCTTGATATTTTATAAATCATAAGTACTTTTTTGGTAATTCGAGCATATTGATTTTATCTAAGAAGCACATACACTTCTACGAAAGTGCCATGTCCATGTTGGAAATTGTGCCAGACACGACACTCCATGGACACGTGTCCCATACTTCATGGACGCGTCCATAATAATTTTTATTAATTCTGACACTCGACGGACACATTCCAAACACTTAACTAACACATCCTACACTCTCAAGTACAAGTCTTTATAGAATACAATCATGGATGTGTCCATAATTTAGAAAAATTTTTTTTCAATTAATTCAGACACTTGGCCAACCCATTCCGGACACTTAACTAACAGATCCTACACTCTCAAATACAAGTCTTATGGAATAGAACCCTATAACAATCTTGAAAACGATATAAATACTGTTCAAAGTGTCCATCCAACCTCTTTTTCTTTCATTCTTTCTTCTTTTTCTTTTTTTTCAGAGTTGATACTGTATACATGTCATAATATGTAATGGAACTTATTAGCATGACAAAACTACAATTATAATGACAAGCCGGGAGAGTAATAATAATAAGGTATTCAAGTAATTCTCTCCTCTAAATTATGTAAAATGTTCCAACTGTTTTGTTTAATAGAATTGTAAATGCTAATTTACATTTATATTAGCCATGTCCTACTTTTTATGATTTAACGGGTCCGCGTATCGTGTCCGTGTCCATGCTACATAGATTTCTATATTCTTCCTTTTTTTTTCCCCCTATTTGTTTGTAATTTCTTAATTTTCGGCAGAGCCAACTGTTACCAAATTTGCACATGCACAGTCCAGCTTTTCTTTCTCCCAGCTGATATTGTCTTTGTGAATGATAAGTTTATCATGTTTGTTTTCCTTCTTTTGTACTCTGGAAATTTCTGTTTTAATGTAGTTAAATGTCACAAAGAATTTAATGAACTATCAAAATTATCCATGCAGGAGACATTAAAGTCTAATCTGGAAGCTTCTGTAATCCCTGGATTTGAGATGTCATGCAAAGCTATGTTTGAGCAAGTTGATGCTACATTTCAGAAAGGAATGGTAGAACACACAACTGCAGCTCAGCAACAATTTGAATCCACACATTCTTCATTGACACTTGCTTTAAGGGTATGTAGTCCAGTGCCTTGTATGACCCAAATGCGCGTGCCTGTCAAATGTGTTTTGTGGCTAATTGTATTTTATGTTCCTATTCTTATACTAGTATTTTATTAGTTAATTTATTTATTTATTTATTTTTTATTTTTTATTCTAGGACATGACATTACTATTTTTACGATGGTGATATCTTTCTGTCAATCTGTTTGCTGTTGTCTTGACTCTTCACTAATTATTTGCTATACGAATGACTTTCAACCTCTGATGTTATCCTAATTCTGCAGGATGCCATTAATTCAGCTTCATCAGTGGCTCAAACTTTAAGTGGGGAATTGGCTGATGGTCAAAGAAAGTTGCTAGCTCTTGCAGTTGCAGGTGCAAACTCAAAAGCTGTAAATCCGTTGGTTACCCAATTGAGCAATGGACCTTTGGGTGGTCTCCATGATAAGGTTTGTTCAGCCATGAAAGCAGTAAATTCTGGAAACTCCAATTAATGTTATTTGCTCTTGCAATGTCATTCAAATTTTTCGTGCTCCGTCTGTGGAACAGATCGAGGCACCTTTGGATCCAACCAAAGAGCTATCTAGATTGATATCTGAACGTAAATACGAGGAGGCTTTCACCACAGCCCTACAGAGAAGTGATGTTGCAATTGTATCTTGGTTATGCTCTCAGGTACACATACATATACAGCATTAATTATTATTATTTTTTTGTTTGCACAATTTTGTTGAGGATTGAGATGTGCAAGTGCCACCATGACCAGGCGTAACTAAGGGCAGTCTAGTCTTTTAGATTTTTCCTTTTATTCTCTATTTTTAATTCATTTCACATATGGAATTTGTATCATCTTGATGCTCCCAAGTTCTGGCAGAATAGTGAATAGGTGGTATGTAGTTCTGAAAGATATAGGCTTCGTTGGATAGGTGGGATGGAAAAGAAAAGTGGTTCTAACATTAGTTATGATAGAAAAAAAAAAAAGGAAAATAAATGATAGCTTAATCCTTTGCTCATGTTTGGATAAATTATGATAGAAAAGAACAGAAAGGAAAGGATAACAATAACCCCTATTTTTGTTTGGAAAACATAAAGAAGAGAGAAGAAAGGAAACTATCTTATAAAATTTACTATCATACTCTTTAGCATTTAGATTACAAATAGAACATGTTCTACGCCTAAATTTCTGTACCTTTTGCATTCTAGGTAGCATTCTGCTGAAGCTCCGTGACATTTAATTTAATTGCCTCCAGTTTATATATATTTATCCAAAATAAAAAACCCATATTCTTCATCTCCCTGCGAAAAATATGATTGGCCATTCCGGTGAGGTCATTTGCAAAACCTAAAAACTGGCTAGATATGCTTGTGCCCAATATTTTTTTTAAAATAAGTAGGATTGAAGAGGTTTGAAAGAAGGTATAAGAGAGCGGGATTTCTCTGTTCATTTGCTATCTTTTGCCGAGTTTCCTATAGATTGATAGCCATCATCACATTGTTGCAGTAGTTGCCATACAGGTGGATTGTGTTACTGGTGAAGAAGCGGTAGTGCGTTTGAGGGGTAGTGTGTTCGTGGAGCCATCATCACATGGACATAAGTGAAGTGCCATACCACATAACTGCAATTTGTATCAAATTTACAAAATGGGGGAAGCCTCAATCTTGGGTGAGAAACTGCAGAGAGGTGAGAAGATATGTCGTGCAATGATGGCTGTGGATCACCGATGACAGGGCCGACATTGAACTATGAGAGAGAGAAATTGCAGGCGAAGGAGTGCATTGTGGCGCTGAATAATAGTGGTTGTTCTTGTATAAGACGAATGGGAGAAGTGAAGATGGATATTATTACCCTAGGATTCAAATGTCATTGCAATTTTCTTCTTTACAATTTTAAGGTTACTTCCAGTATTTTGGAAGTTTCATTAAAGTGGCTATCCTTTCTCTCCAAATCCTCCCACTTTTGGAATGATAGTGAAAATGCAATTTGAGGGGTTAAGTAATCCCTTTAAATCCCTCCTTTTCCTTTATTTTCTTTCTTTAATGGTAAACCAAACATGAAAATAATATCCCTCCATTTCTTTACTTTTCTTCTCCCTCCATTTCCACCAATCCAAACGAAGCCTAAATGATGGGTGATTAATTCTTTTAGAGAGTGAGGGGCTCAAGTTTGTCAGGTGACAGCCTTGTAGTACCAATATACCTGACCTCCATTGAGGTTTGCAATCTGGACCCTTAGATTAAATATTGGTAAATATTATGGTTAACCTCCCATGAGGTTTGGCAAAGAATACATGTAGGTTCAGTCAGTTAATGGTCCGTTAGGGCGGTTAGAGAACTACTGATTTAATACCGAAATTGCCTTTTCTTTAGGAGCAAAGTTAGTGCATTACCCGTCAAACATATGGAATGATCAATTTAACTTTATCATATATATACACATCACGGAGGCCGTCCTTCCCCACCACCACTACCACTGTAACCTATCAAACATATGGAATGACCAATTTAACTTTATCATATATATACACATCGCGGAGGCCGTCCTTCCCCACCACCACTACCACTGTATAACCGCCATGGTGTCCACTCTTCTCTGTCTTCTCTCCACCACCAATTCCATCGCTCTCTCCCCCCACCCCACAACCCCCAATCTCTCTTTCTCTGTCCACCATTGCCGCCCACCACACCAGCCCCTCTCCTTCTACAACTCTCTCCCCCCTCATACTCAACCCATATGGCATAAAACCAACTTTAGATCATGAAAGTAATTTAAAGGAAAATGATCATAGAAAACTATGCCATTAGTTACAAAGAAACTATGCCATTAGATACGAAGAGTGTGTGTGTGTGTGTGTGTGTGTGTGTGTATATGCATATACAGAGGTCCCAATCATTTTGCAACCACCATTATTGTTGGACTTGAACTCAATCTCCCATATATATGCCGAGAAAATTCAATCAAGTAACCAAACTGCAGCATACTCTCTCTCTCTCTCTCTCACACACACACACACACACACACACACACACACACACACACACATCCTTAGATGGTTTCAGATCCCATCCAAATCCGAGCTCTGATGCTCATCACTTGCTGCATTTAATTGTATTGCACTTAACCTCTTCCTTTGTTAGAAAATTCCTGGGACTGGTTATTAGAATTTAATGATTTTTTTGTACCTATTAATTCTCAAAAAGAATATGGTATGAGGAGAATTCTGAAAATGGCAGCTTCCTCACAGTCTTTCTAGCTATAAAACCAACCAGAGGGATATTCTCTTATATTGACTTTGTCGAAGATTTTGGTGATTTGAGAGGAGGAAAACAGAGGTGGTGACTAGCGGGATGAGGAGAGAGAGAAAGAACTAAGTATAGCAGCAGAGAGTTGAGAAAATGGTGGCAGTGGTTGAAGGCGCCATTGGTGGTCATAATTAGAAGAGGGGAAGCAACTCATTTTAATCTGTTGCTTTGCAACATACATACATTCATATATCTTTATATGATGTAATTTATGTATATTAACTGTAATATATAATTGTATATAAACATAAACTATAATATGCATATATTATATATATATACATATATATGTTTGTAAGGTGAGGTTATGGGTCAAGTGGTGGTGGTGGTGAGGTGGAGGAGAGGGAGAGAATTAAGGTTATTCTTTCCAGTAAATAAGATAATTAAGGTTTCCTTGGGGCTGAAGTTGATTGTAAAGTGTGAAGGGTAATCGTGTCTTTTAAATATGGCCCTTAGGTCCAGTTTTGATGGAAATATGAACCGAGCCACTCTCGGTCCCTTGGCCTATCAAAGCTCCAGTCATGGCTCCTATTCAACTTCAAGAAAAAGAAAAGTATGGTTCCTTGATAATGCTGTATATCTGAAATTTCAAGCTTTAAGGTATCCTTTTAAATGGGGGAAAAGGGCTGTGAGGTATTAAATATAACCTCCCCCGATTCTATGAAGTAATTGAACAACAAATGGATGATAAATACCCAAACCCTTTGTTCATATGAAAACACCTCCTGTCACCATATTAGAACCTCAGGAAAATTATTTTTTTAAAGATCCGTATTTAATATTAGAATTTGGACATCTTGAATCACCAAACCCCAAAACACATATATCGGAATAGGACTCAATGATTGACGAAAAACACAACCCATTTCCCATTTCCAGTTTTAGCAAAGCCATTCAAATCTTCAACTAGACCGTGGGTAACTTCTTGGTACCTGACCTGTTCTTGTATATTGGTCTTACATTTTCAAGCGTTGAATAACATGTTTATTGGTAAGACTTCTGGTCTAGGTTTTGAAAGTGTAGACTTCCATTAATATCCAAAAACCATTCTCTTTCGATCTCTTTGAAGCTTTTATCCAAAATCGATGTTTAATACTGTTCTATAATCAAGATTCATATTTTGGTTCCACACCGTCTCAATTCCTGCTGGAGATTTTACTTTTCTAAAAAAAAGTTAAATCAGCTGTTCTCTTGCCCTTTGTTTTTTTTTTTTTTTTTGTTTTTTCCTGGCAGGTTGATTTACAGGGGATTTTGTCGATGATTCCTCTCCCCTTGAGTCAAGGAGTGCTGCTCTCTCTTCTGCAGCAATTGGCCTGTGATATAAGAAAGGATACGCCTCGAAAACTGGGGTGGATGACGGACGTTGCAGTTGCTATAAACCCGGCAGACCCAATGATTGCCGTTCATGTTCGTCCCATATTTGAGCAAGTATATCAGATACTAAACCATCATCGTAGCCTCCCCACCACCAGTGGTGCTGAGCTTTCAAGTATTCGTCTTGTCATGCACTTGATCAATTCCATGATGATGAGCTGTAAATGATCTTCCCATTTGTGTACAACTAGTAGGAAGGTTTGTACAAAATAGTGGCGGTTTTGTACCTTAATTTGGTTGTCAGAATCTGCAAGTGACCACCTTGTGTTTTATACAAGTCCACTCCTATGTTTTCTGATGAACAATTTCCCTTCACACTGGAACATTTATTTGATGTCTCTTCTCTGTCGAATGGATAAAATTGTTAGATCTGCTCCTCCCCGCAAGTGACCTTGGTGGTAAAATGTTTGCCTGTCTAGTACAGAAAAGCATTTTCATTTTTGAAGCAGTTACTGTGCAAGTAAGGACACAAAGGTAAAAAGTGTAGGAGTAAGCAAATAAAAAAAAATAAAAAAAACCAGAAAACTAAACAAACATATGTTCCTGTTATTGAATTAGAAAAAGCATGTAAGGGTTAAATTCAATACTTCCATTCTTTTTGACACTTAACCCCATTTATTTCTATTAGGTAGGGATAGTAGAATGCGTCAGAAATTATCAACCTGTCTATATTCGTCCGTTTTTTAATAGTTATGGGGTCAAAAGTGAGTTGGGTAATTTTTAACTACTTAATTTGAGGGTCAAGATGGGTTGGATATGATTACTCATATTCAATTCATATTTCATCGGTTACATAATAGGCATAAAACACACATTTATTTTATATTACACTCAACTTATTCTTTTTCTCACGAAGGGCTGCAAGTTGGGCTGGCCAAATCCAGTCCAGTCTCGGATCATATTTTGGGCAGGTCGTGCAGGTTTCATGGGTCTTCTTTTTTTTTTTTTTTTTTTTTTTTTTTTTTTTTTTTTAACAAATATACAAATTACATTTTCTTTTTCCATGTTTCTAACCATTAAATTTTTTAAGAAAATTTTAATTTTTAAACATCAAAATTTTGGGTGGGTCGGTCGGGTTTCACGATTAATTTTTTTTTTTTTTTTTTTTCAAATATGCAAATTACATTTTCTTTTTCTATGTTTGTAAATATCAAAATTTTTAATAAATTTTTATTTTTAAAAATCAATATTTTGGACAGGTCGATCGGGTTTCACGAGTCAATTTATTTTATTTTTACAAATATACAAATTACTTTTTCCTTTTTCATGTTTGTAAACATAAAATATTTTAAGAAAAATTTATTTTTTAAACATCAAAATTTTAAGCAGGTCAGTTGGATTTCACGAGAATTTTTTTTTTTGTTCAAATATACAAATTACATTTTCTTTTTCCAAGTTTGTAAACATTAAAATTTTAAAGAAAATTTTATTTTTAAACATTAATATTTTGGGCGGGTCGATCGGGTTTCACAGGTCAATTTTTATTTATTTATTTATTTTTTTACAAATATGCAAATTACGTGTTCCTTTTCCATATTTGTAAACATCAAATTTTTTTAAGAAAATTTTATTTTTTAAACATCAAAATTTTGGGCCGGTTGGTCAGGTTTCATAGGTAATTTTTTTTTTTTTTTTTTTTTTTTTTTTTCAAATATGCAAATTACATTTTCTTTTTCCATATTTGTAAACATCAAAATTTTAAAGAAAATTTTATTTTTAAACATCAATATTTTGGCGGGTTGATCGGGTTCATAGTTGTTAAAGGCTCAAGGCGCACAAAAGCGCAAAGGCCTCCTGAAGCTTGAGGCGCAAGGTCCAAGGCAAGGCGCGCGCTCGATTGAAGCAAGGCGCGCGCCCGATTGAAGCAAGGCGCATGTTGGAAAAAAAAAAACCTACCCAATAAAAATGCAATAGTATATATGAAGATGCAAAAAGTCAACTAAATCAATTACTTAAGTTCAATATTCAACATAAAGATGCCAAAGCCAACCATTTATATTTTCGTCAATACATATAACAAAACTAATATGGTAAGAGAAATAATGTTCAATTGATTTATAATTTTTTAAAATTTCAGTTACACAATTTTTGTAAGGCATACACAATTACACACCCAAAACTGGGAGCCAAAAAGAGAGAGAAAAGAAAAGAATTCTGCTGAGACTCGAGAGAGCCGAGAGAAGAAGAAAAGAAGAATAGAGAGAAAAAGAGAGGAATTCTGCCGAGAGAAGAGAAGAGAGAAGAGAGAAGAAGAAGAGAAGAACTTAACGTGAGTCGGCAGATCTGAGGAGATCTAGCAGATCCAGCACTATGATTCGGCAGATCTGAGATTGCTTCGCTTTCGCGTTCACTGCGGTTTGCAAGCCCTAGCCTCCGTCTCTTTCCTTTTGCTCTTTTTGTGTTCTTTTATTTCTTTTTGTTTTGTAGGTTTTGTGAAGTTATATAAAAAGTAATAATAAACAAATACTTACAAAAAAAAAGTAATAATAAACAATACCAAACAAAAATAATAACAAAACAATAATAATAAAAAAAAATCTTTTTCAAACAAGCGCGCCTTTTATGAGCCTATGGCCTTGCGTCTCAAAGCCAATCACCTTAAGCCCTTAAAGCCAGTCGCCTTAAGCCCTTACAGGCGACATGCTGGCGCCTTGCGCCTCAGGCGCGCGCCTTTGACAACTATGATCGGGTTTCACGGGTCAATTTTTTTTTTTCAAATATGCAAATTACATTTTTTTTTTCCATGTTTGTAAACATCAAAATTTTTTAAGAAAATTTTGTTTCTAAACATCAATATTTTGGGCAGGTCGATCGAGTTTCACTGGTCATTTTTTTTTTTATTTTTTTATTTTACAAATATACAAATTACGTTTTCCTTTTCCATGTTTGTAAACATCAAATTTTTTTAAAAAAATTTATTTTTTAAACATCAAAATTTTGGGCGGGTCAGTCGGGTTTCACGGGTTAAATTTTTTTTATTTTTATTTTTCAAATATGCAAATTGCATTTTCTTTTTCCATGTTTGTAAACATCAAAATTTTTAAGAAAAATTTATCTTTTAAACATCAATATTTTGGGCGGGTCGGTCGGGTTTCACGGGTCAATTTTTATTTATTTTTATTTTTTATTTTTTTATTTTCTTTTTACACAAATATACAAATTACATTTTCCTTTTCCATGTTTGTAAACATCAAAATTTTTAAGAAAATTTAATTTTTTAAACATCAATATTTTGGGTGGGTCGGGCTGGTTTCACAAGTCATTTTATTTTTTTTTACAAATATCTCCATGTCTGTGAACATCAAAATTTTTATGAAAATTTTAGTTTTTAAATATCAATATGGGTCTTAACAGGTTGACCTTATACATTTTTGACCCACTCATTTTCAACCCGTTCTAAGCGGGTTGAATATGGATCTTGACCCATGTTTGACTCGCCTATTTTTAACCCAGCCCAAATCCAACCCAAACTGCCAATTTGCCACCCCTACTATTAAACCACCCAATAATATCAAAAAGTTTCATGCAAGGTTAAACTCGTTATGGACGGATGAAATTAACAAAATGGTCTTCCTTTATATAAATAAATTTAAGGGTTAAATTCATAAAACCCCCTATACTTTAATTTTTTGACACTTCACCCCTATGCTATCTTTTTGCACAAAATTGGGACACTGGAAGTGCGCAAGCTTGTTAGAATCTTGGAAGATTAAGAGAAGTCGAGCAAAAATGAAACCCTTTTAGAACGATCAGGCGATTGTGGAAGGTTCTGATTTGCCTTTGATGAAAGGACTTTTAATAAGACTACAATGCTAACTAAGGAATTAAAGTGCAATACTAAGAAGTAAATGCATGAAAATAAAGAACTTGTATTAAAATTGCTAGAATTGAAATACATGAAAGATAAATGACATTGAATTGTAGTTGATGTTGTTGAGAGAGTTTCAAATGTAGTCCTAGGTATACTATTTATAGGCATTACAAGCCTTACAAGAAGGACACATGTCCTATCACAAACTACCCCTTCCCTTTATCATCTCTTTACAAAACACTTGTCCCATGTCCAGCTGCAGAAGTTCATCTTCCAAACCCATGAACTACAGTCTTCTTCCTGCGATGCCATGTGTCCCACGTTCTCAACCTATGTTTTGCTTTATGGTTTTGAATATGATGATGCCATATATTCATCAATATATATATATATATATATATATATATATATATATATATATTCCAGTTATAATGAATGTAGCCATGTTCCTGTCCTCATTCATTCATGAACTTACATTTTAAAACCAACACATGACAAGTGTCCCAAATTAACTTCCCTTCCTTTCAAGTTTTTAGCAAATCAGTTAACCTCTTTCTTTATAGCAATTTGGTTACTTTGGTAGCAATTTGATGGCCACGTAATTGGGAGGTTTTGTATTTATCTATATATCAAACCCACCTCATTAATTATAGGAACTACCTTATCCATTAAGGTATTTATATCCTAGTTTCATTCTGGGCTCAAACAAGGCTTTATTCATGGCTGAATAGATGGCCAACTGTACCCATTATCCGGCTGAACTAAAATGGTCAACTGTCCTTATTTTCCGGCTGAACAAAAATGGCTAGCTATCCCTATTTTAATTCTGCCAGGTGTAATCTTTCAACAAATGCCATATGTCACCACACTATTGGATTATAATTTGGTCTGTTTGTTTCTGATAAGTGTTGAATATTGCATATTCAAGCGCCCTTATTTGCATTAGTTAAGTCCATTAGTTGATCTTATTGTATAGATTATATTCATTTGCATGATTTTGTTTACTTTTAGGTTGGTTCCCCAAAAAAAGATAAAAGTGAAGCTTTGATAAGTTCTTGAAGATCAAAGTATGCCGGGCCGGGGACTTACAGTTTTGCTAAGCTATTTTGTGCCGTTGAACTTAGGGCACTTTCTGTAAAGCATAAGATAGAAGATAGCATCATCAGATCAAGCAAGGCCAAAGTCAAGAAGAAGTTTTGAAGCAGGTGAACAGTACGGCGGGCGCCCGCAAGCGCCCGCCAACTCAAGCCAAATCCTGCGGGAGCTCAACTCCAATAGGTTTCAGATTTGGCAGGGGCCCGCCATGCACTGCGGGCGCCCGCCATGCACTGCGGGCGCCCGCCATTTGCTATCAGCAGGCCAAGGAAGCCCTTTGACAGCACATGGAAGGCACCTTTGACACCCTACGGGTGCCTACCCTGCGCTGCGGGCGCCCACCATGCGCTGCGGGCGCCCGCCATAGGCTGCGGGTGCCCGCCAAGCTGTAGACAGCAGGTTGCCAACTTCATTGTTTTACCCAATGTTGTCCCCTTGACTCAAAG